GCAGAGAGAAAGCCTGGATATAGTAGGGTGGAAATCAGGGAGGGCTTCCCCAAGGAAGCAAAATTTGAAAGGAGAAAGGACAATGGCCAGGCATGGTGGCTCATGCCTGTAATCCCACACTCTGGGAAGCTGAGGCAGGTGGATTGCCTAAGCTCAGGAGTTTGAGACCACCATGAGCAAAAGTGAGACCTCCTCTCCAAAAAAAATAGCCAGGCATTGTTAGTGGCTATTTTAAACCTGGCATCTGTAGTCCCCGCTACTTGGGAGGCTGAGGCAAGAGAATTAGTTTGAGGTTGCTGTGAGCTATGACACCACAAGGGCAACAAAGTGAGACTCTGCCTCAGAAAAAGGAAAGGAAAAGGGAAAAAAAAAGGAAAAGGAAAACAAGAAACCAATAAAGTGATTGGCTATAATCAGGCAGTGGGTGGAGAGATAGAATGGGACAGACTGCAAAGAGTTGGGAGAGAAAATTTCTCCTTGTATGCCTTTTTACACTACTATTTTGATTTCTGAACTATGTGACTAGTTAGGCAAACAATTACTTATAACAACAAAAACAATAGAGAATGCAAGAAAGAAGAGAAACCTTCTCCATTGCTGAGGGACAAGGATCCCTGCAGCTCTTACCTGGAGTGAGACCAGGGCCCAGGAGCCCAGAGAGGTTGGGCGGGGAACATGGGGCTAGACTAGGACATGGCCACATGAGGGAAAGAAGATGGAATCAGGAGATGCTCAGGTAAATGGAAAAATAAAACTTGGGCTCTGGTGCCTGTGAGGTTGAAAGAAGTGGGACCTCCCTGGCCCTGGCCTTTTGGTCCTCTGCAGTCTCTCATGCTCTCCCCAGATCTAACTTCTTTCCAGCTTTCCCTGATACCTACATTCCCCAAGAAGCCATGCCTCAGAACCAGTTCCAAGCTTTCTTGTGACAGGCCAGCCAACTCTGGGCTCTCACCTTGATGCCCTCAATCCGGAAGCCTAGGGTAGAGGTTGAGCTCATGGTCTCCCTCCACTGCATGTATCGGGGCTTGGTGACTGCGCCCTGGGCATGCTCCTCAGGGGTGGGGGCCCCAGGGTCCACAGCCACCATCTTCTCATACATGTCCTTCCGGGGCCGGGGTCGTTCTCGAGCCTTCACCAGCTCCTCCTCCAAGTAGGTCCTAAGCATACAGAGGACATGATGAAGGATACTGTGAACCCCACAACTGGAGGGTTTATACTTCCTGATATCAAGACATACCATAAAGCTACCGCATAGCACAAGAATGGACAAATACTGGCTCAGTGCCTATAGCTCAGTGGATAGGGGGCTGTGGGTTTGAACCCAGCCCAGCCTGCTAAACAATGACAACTACAATAAAAAAACAGCCGGGCATTGTGGCGGGCACCTGTAGTTACTTGAGAGGCTGAGGCAAGAGATTCACTTAAGTCCAAGAGTTTGAGGTTGCTATAAGCTGTGACACTATAGCACTCTACCAAGGGCAACATAATAAGACTCTGTTTCAGAAAAAAACGAATAGACAGGGTGGTGCCTATGGCTCAGTGAGTAGGCCACTGGCCCCATATACCAAGGGTGGTAGGTTCAAACCTGGCCCTGGCCAAACTGCAACAACAAAGAAAAATAGCTGGGTGTTGTGGTGGGCGCCTATAGTCCCAGCTACTCAGGAGGCTAAGGCAAGAGAATCGCCTAAGCCCAGGAGTTGGAGGTTGCTGTGAGCTGTGACTGCCATAGCACTCTACCCAGGGTGACAAAGTAAGACTCTGTCTCTAAAAAAATAAAAATAAATGAATGGACAAATATAACTGATGGATGTAATAAAATAGAGTCCACAGACACACATGGACATGTGCCCAGCTGATGGTGATGAAGGCACTGCACTTTAGCAGGGAGTCTCCTTTTTCTTTTTCTTTTATTTGAGCTAGAGTCTCACTTTGCTGCCTTCCGTAGAATGCCATGGCATCATAGTTCACAGCAACCTCAAACTCTTGGGCTCAAGCAATCCTCTTGCCTCAGTCTCCAAAGTAGCTGAGACTACAGGCAACCACCACAACACTGGGCTATTTTTAGAGACGGGGGGGGGGGGATCTTACTCTTGCTGAGGCTAGTTTTGAACTCGTGAGCTCAAGCAATCCACCTGCGTCAGCCTCCCAGAATGCTAGGATTACAGGCCTATGTCACCATGCCTGACAGAGTTTCTTTTCAATAAAGGATTCTGGGAGGTGAGGGCAGTGGCTCCCACCTGTAGGCGCAGCATTCTGGGGAGGCTGAGGTGGGTGGATTGCTCCAGCACAGGAGTTCAAGACTAGACTGAGTAAGAGCAGGACAGGGTAATAGAAAATAGAAAATAGAAAAACTGGCAGGCACCTATCATCCCAGCTACTCGGGAGACTGCGGCCAGAGGACACTTGAGCTCACGAGTTTGAGGCTGGTGCCCATAGCTCAGTGGTTACAGCGCTAGCCACATGCACCAAGGCTGGCAGGTTCGAACCCAGCCTGGGTCAGCTAAACAATGACAACTGCAACAAAAAAACAGCCCAGCGTTGTGGCGGGCGCCTGTAGTCCCAGATACTTGGGAGGCTGAGGCAAGAGAATCTCTTAAGTCCAAGAGTTTGAGGTTGCTATGAACTGTGATGCCACAGTACTCTACCGAGGGTGATATAGTGAGACTCTGTCTCAAACAAAGAAACAAAAAAAAAGAGTTTGAGGTGGCTATGGGCTACAATGACGCCACGGCACTCTACCCAGGGTGACAGAGTGAGACTGTCTCAAAAATAAATAAATAAATAGTACTCAGTCAATAAGACATCCATATGGAAAAAAAATTGAACCCCTGTCCCTACCTCCTATCACACACCAAAGTTAATTCTAGATGGACTGCAGATCTAAATGTGAAAGATAGAACAATAAAGTTTGTAGAAGGAAACGCAGGAAATAGCTTCCTGATCTTGAAGCAGGCAAAATTTTTTAAACATAAACCCACTAACCCTAATAAAAAATTGAGAAACTGGACTAAATTAAAAGTACTTCTGTTTATCAAAAGAACCTATTAAAAGAGTTGAATGGGTGGGTGCAGTGGTTCACGCCTATAATCCTAGCACTCTGGGAGGCCAAGGTGGGTGGACTGCTTGAGCTCGCAAGTTCGAAACCAGCCTGAGCAAAAAGCAAGACCCTGTTCTCTACTAAAAATAGAAAAACTGAGACAAAAGGATCACTTGAGCCTAAGAGTTAGAGGTTGTCGTA